TCATTTGACACAATGCTGGGACAGTGTTATGAAAACAGAACTACTCTTAGATTGAGGTAGTTCACACACACACACACACACACACACACACACACACACACACACACACACACACACACACACACACACACACACAGTGTATTTCATTTGACACAATGCTGGGACAGTGTTATGAAAACAGAACTACTCTTAGATTGAGGTAGTTCACACACACACACACACACACACACACACACACACACACACACACACACACACACACACACACACGTGTATGCATCTGTTGCCACTTCAGACCCCCCTTCTTCTCAAATCTTAAGTAAGCCGGATGGAAAGGAAGAATTAACCCGTATGCAGAGGGAGGTGAATTAGAAGTCAGACTTTTCACACCTTCCCTGCTTATCGCTCAGACACACACACATGAAACGCAGGCATTCTCCAAGTCAGCTCAAGCGTCATATCCAGCAGACGATGAAGAAATATGTGTGTGTGTATTCGGGGGGACTTATCATGCAACACCACCTTATCGGCTTTTGTCTCTTCATCATCTGTCTGTTTTTGACTGCGAGGGGACTTCAACATATCAGCATGATCGGCTCTGGCTAATTCCTGCTTTATGACAGAAATCAGGCACTCTACTGTGACTCCGATTCTGTCTAGACGAGTAAAATTAAAGAATAGAAGTGTGTAGTGTGGCACTGGGGTTATACAAGTCTAAAAAAAAGAGCTTCAGAGACGACAATATCCTTGTGATCAACGGCAAGGGCAGGAAAAATACCATTGCCGTCATTACAAGTCGAACTTGTTTGAGCTAAACTTAGGAACGAGCCGCCTAGGTTGAAAAGTTCATTGTCATGTCAGCTGATTAGCTCAGAGCCGAGCCGAGCTGAATGAAAGGCTTTAACATTTCCAAACAGTTTACTAGTGATTGAGAAGGAAAGAAAACACATCTCCTCTCCTTTGTATTCCCCTCCTTCCCTCCTCTCTGCACGCTTTTGTCGAGGATCCGACAGTCGAGTGTGGAGGCGAGCGTCGGTGTTTCACATCAAAGACAGGCAGGCACACGGAGGAACACGCCTGGAGTAAAAGGCCCGCAAAAAAATAACAAACAACGCCTTTTTTTCCGAGAGCCGAGGCCTGATGATTAGAGAAAAAGAGAGAAGGGGAAGAGGAGGCTTTTGCGACGACATAAGCGGCCATTTTGTTTTTACTTCTTTGAGGAGGATGTGTAACAGTGAAAGAACCGGAGGGTGTCAGTCAGCAGGCCAGGAAATGTCACTGTGGTGGGGTTACCATGCTGGCACGACATAGCTTATCGCTAATTGCTGATTAGCTCTTGCGTGCATACAGATAGCTGCTCAGATGGAGTGTGGCTGCTTCAGTTAAAGGACCTTTAAAGGTACAAGTAAAGAAGGATTTTCATTTATGTGTCAGTAACAAAAGTATTTATGTGTGACATTTTAACGTTTGTTTACTACTCTTCCCCTCGATCTTAACTTGTATGCAGTTCTAAACGCTAAATATATGTATGTGCAGCATGCAAATGTGAATGTGGACGTGAAAAACAAACCTAACCTTGAGAAAATGCAGGGGTGTCAAACTCAAATACACAGTGGGCCAACATTAAAAAATGGGTTCTAGTCGAGGGCCGGACTGGTTCAATGTTTATTGCAGAACTTATTGAAATGAACTTATTGCACATATTAAACCTGGAACTAACAAAGCTTAAATGATTGCCTATAAAAAACAACATTAAACATTAAATAATCAGTTGCATTCATTTCTTATGGCTCTATCTGCAGCTTCTCCAGAGTCATTTCTTATGGCTCTATCTGAGTCCTTTCTGAGTCATCTCTTATGATTACATTTTTCCACGGACCAACAACAGCTTCAACAAAACTATTTCCCTCAAAGAACAAACCAAACATGCCCTGTTGTCGTGAGAGAGAAAGTGCAGAAGGAAACATCCATTAAACTCAGTGTGCTGCTCTGTGATGCTAGTTCAGATACTTGGCATCTCATCTTGGGTGCAAGGTCATCAATATTTGGGCTCAGGCTCTGAGCTGAGGAGACCCTCAGGATGGAGTGAAGGTGTGCGTGCAATATACCGGAGGGCCAGATCTAATAGGAATTAGAAATTATCCTGTGGGCTGAAATTAAATCCACCAAGGGCCTGATTTGGCCCCCGGGCCTTGAGTTTGACACGTGTGGTTGAAACACACAACAAAGACGTCTAAATTGATGTTAACTCACTTTACATGTAATGTGATAAAAAAACTGTATATTTAATATTTATTTATTTGGACTCAGAACTGTTCTGTCGGTTTGCACAATAGTTTTCTGAAGTCATAAACACAGCATAGGACACTATTTAAATCAGACTTGAAAAATGTAACTTACATTTCAGGGCTTCCATAAAATAAGCACCGATATCTTAATTCTATAGCAAGGAATAAGCTCATCAGCAGCAGAAACACACTCCTGCATGCGTTCCTTTCCGTGTGTGAAATGAAGGGAGGAAATATGAGCATGCCAAGACAAAAGTTGCTTTCAAATTTAGACACATTTGGCATAAAATCCAGAAGTGAAAATGTATGTAAAATATGGGTTTCACTCAAAATGGTTCAACAGTGTTTGTTCTACATGTGTACAGTTTAGTAATGCGATAAGATGTGGAGAATAACTTAGTTTATTTGGACTTAAACCTCAAAGCCAACAGAAAGTCAGTCATTTCCACAGGAGCTCCAACAAGCCTTGTAGGACAGAGAGTGAATACACATACTATAGATGCTGTAGAGAAACCAATGTGAGTTTGGAACATTGAACAATATAAATCTATTCTAGTAGACCTCAACGATGGAATTATGATCAGTAGAAATGGCCATGACATGGGACCTTTAAATCATAAACACTGGAAAGAAAACAGGATTAGACTTCAGCTGCAAGATCACTTGCATGAAAAGGATTTCATAAAAAAGCACCAAAATATGAGGAAACGGCCAATCAGCAGCACAACAAGTTCTGCTCTCACACGCGCTCGTTTGTTTGTGAAATAAAGGAAGCAAACAAGAGCCAGAAAACAACATCAGGATAATCAGGAGACACACACACGGTCAGTGTGAACAATGACTTTCTGCACAATCAGCAGCTCCACAGATAGGAAGCAGCGAGCAATCAGTAAACAAGAAACACACACACACACACACACACACACACACACACACACACACACACACACACACACACACACACACACAATGTAAGCATGCAGAGTAAGTGGTTGCAAGTAACTAACTATATTAACTACCAAAAACTCAGCTTGAATATCATTTTCTGGTAAAATAAATAAGAAGCAACTGTGAAAAACCTGCAGGAAATTTGGGTTAAAGAGACAGAAAAACGTTATATTGTAGGAGGTGAAATGCAAACAAAATGAACAAATCAAAGATAAATCTAAGTGAGGAAATATATAAGACATTTATGTTGCTATTCTTGCAAGTCTTTTTCACAGTTTTATTGATGAACTGATGATGAAAAAGCACTTAAAGTGGTTAAAAATGATCAAAATGTTGCTGAAATTGAGTGGAAAATGTGCTTTATTTGTTTCTTCAGTAAAAACAGTAATGTCCCTCCTTTAAATCCTGCAATTGTGTTTTTTATTATCATCCACACACCATAAATACATTTTAATATGTACAAGTTATTGAGGCACGGTGAAATGAACCAAACACAAGCAGACAAACTGTATTTCATAACAGATGTATCCACTAAACAATCAGGCTTTATTCACCACAATCATTCAAGTATTATCTCTAACTGAAATTCAGGATATTAAATTAGTAAAACTAAAGTCAACAAATATTTTCAATCTGGAAAAAAAGTGATTATTTCTCAGTTTTTACGGAAATTGATGAAAGTGGGTCAAAGAATCCTTAAGGCACTGCAGCGCCCCCTGCTGGCTGTCACGGGAAGTTATCATTTTAAGGGTCAGTTCACACAAAACCTTGAATAAAATTAATCTTGTGTCTATTTATCAAATTCTAATGATAATAAACTGTTATTTAATGTTGTTCTGGATTGTGTTTGTAGACATTTCATGGAAAGTTTCTCAAAAGTAGGCCAGATGATCCATTAGCAGCTTCTGTTTGCATTAAAAGGAAACTTTAAAAACAGAATATTCAGGCAGTTATATGAGTTGGTTTTATTACTAAGCAGATTTGTGATTGTATGTTTTTTAAACCCTTGAATTGGTTTCATTATTGTATTAAAAAGCAGAATATTTAGATATTAATTGTTGAAAAGGAGACAAATAACATACGAAACTAAAACTGTCTGCATGGCATGAAAGAAAGTATTGATCCTTAAATCTGGCGATGCATTAAAAGACGCAAAGAAAAGTCGGACATTTTTGAGCCGACGGTATAAAGGAAAACTTTAAAACCCAAATAGTTCTTTTTTATTTCTAAGCAGATTTGTGATGTTTAAAGTGAACTGACCCTAAAATCAACAAAGAAAAGTGACGTTTTAGAGCCAAGTCAAAAATAAGTGCTATAATTCTCTCGAAACGTGAAAAGATGTGGGTTAGACGTCAAATCATCTGAATCTCCTCTGAACGTCGGCATTTAATAGCGTTTGGGTACAAACATATAAAACCTGCAGCTCAGCTCACATTCTCCTATCTTTACGTATAAGGTAATGTCTCCAGGTCGACTCATCTGACTCCAGATCTGTGATTGATTGTCAGTTTTCGGTTGCGTATCACTGGTACTCCTTCAAGATTTGTCCGGCTATCACCAGTCTCTGGATCTCACTGGTTCCCTCGTAGATCTCCGTGATGCGAGCGTCTCGATAATGCCTCTCCGCCGGCATGTCCGTCACGTAGCCCATCCCCCCCAGGACCTGGATCGCCTGGAATTAAAGTAAAACACAGACGGGCTATTTAGAGAATCTTTAGGGGGGTGTTCTGTGGTTTTGACCCTCCGTTTGGATTGTCTTTTACCTGATGAGCGCAGAAGGTGGCGGCTTCAGACGCTGCGAGTTTAGCCATGGCTGCTTCCTGCAGGAAATACAAAATGAGGGTAAACACGTGTGCAGAAATGTTAAACATAGGCCTGTCGCGATAAGCAATTAATCGACTTATCGTTCGATAAATAAAAAAGGAACTTGATAACTTTTCTGACTTCGATAAATTGCCGTTTATATGCGTGTTTGTTTACATAAGGATGTGACCGGCATTTTAGCCAGGTGTGCTGTGAGGGGCGGGGCTCACACATAGCAAGGCTCGCTGTGAGGGGCGGGGCTCACACACAGCCAGGTGCGCTGTGAGGGGCGGGGCTCACACACAGCCAGGCACGCTGTGAGGGGCGGGGCTCACACACAGCCAGGTGCGCTGTGAGGGGCAGGGCTCACACAACAGCCAGGTGCGCTGTGAAGGGCAGGGCTCACACATAACCAGTTGCGCCGTGAGCGGCGGGGCTCACACACAGCCAGGCACACTGTGAGGGGCGGGGCTCACACACAGCCAGGTGTGCCGTGAAGGGCAGGGCTCACACATAGCCAGGTGCGCCGTGAGCGGCGGGGCTCACACACAGCCAGGTGCGCCGTGAGGGGCGGGGCTCACACACAGCAAGGCTCGCTGTGAGGGGCGGGGCTCACACACAGCCTGGATCGCTGTGAGGGTCGGAGCTCACACACAGCCTGGATCGCTGTGAGGGTCGGAGCTCACACACAGCAAGGCACGCTGTGAGGGGCAGGGCTCACACACAGCCAGGTGCGCTGTGAGGGGCGGGGCTCAAACACAGCAAGGCTCGCTGTGAGGAGCGGGGCTCACACAGCAAGGCTCGCTGTGAGGGGCGGGGCTCACACACAGCCAGGCACGCTGTGAGGGGCGGGGCTCACACACAGCAAGGCTCGCTGTGAGGGGCGGGGCTCACACACAGCCTGGCTCGCTGTGAGGGGCGGGGCTCACACACAGCCAGGTGCGCTGTGAGGGGCGGGGCTCACACACAGCAAGGTGCGCTGTGAGGGGCGGGGCTCACACACAGCAAGGCTCGCCGTGAGGGGCGGGGCTCACACACAGCCAGGTGCGCTGTGAGGGGCGGGGCTCACACACAGCCAGGTGCGCTGTGAGGGGCGGGGCTCACACACAGCCACGTCAGGACACTCCGCGTGCAGCAGCGTAGCAGCCAAATGAATAACATAGAGACAAGCAGGAGACAACGTGTGACTTACTCGAGGGGAATTTGAAGTTCAATGGAATTGGTTGCTAAACCTAATTCAGCATCTCCGGTGTGGGAATATTTTGCATTCAAGCCAAATCAACGAGGCGAACCTACGGACTTGAATGAGCCGATATGTCGCATTTGTTTTAAAAAGCAGTGTTAGTTTAGGCAGCTATTTTTGATTTAGTCTTTAGAAGAAAATGGTTATTAGTTTTAGTCACATTTGAGTCCTTTTTATCCTTCATAGTTTGAGTCTAGTTTTAGTCGATGAAAAATCATAACATTTTAGTCAATATGTTTTCTCTCTTTAAACCAATTCAGTTACAAACACAGGTATCTGAAATTGGAATCAAGGTGACAGCATCAAGTGTTGAAATTCGTAAAGCAATATTTCACTCTCAACCAGTGCTTGAATTGGAATAAAAAAGGTGCCAGTACTCTAAATCAGCAACAAGTATTTGGCACAAAGTCATAGTATATCCTATAATGCTGGTGGGTTTGTCTCTTTACTGTATATTTTAGAAAGGCTCATTGTACTTAAACAAAATGACTCAGGGTGCATCTGAGATTAGAGGGGGTGCAGTGGTAAAGTGCTATTTTTATAAGTGGGGAGTGGACCTGACACCCTCTAGTCTAGGGGGGGTCCGGGGGCATGCTCCCCCGGGAACTTTTTTTTTTAAATATTGAAGTTAGATGCATCAATTCTGGTGCACTTTGAGAGCAAAATGAAGAGATATATAGATACCTCTCAACATCCATAATGAAACAACTGTAAACAGATTTACTTTTTCTTTATGGATATAAAAGAAAGTAAAGCTTGACTCCTACTGGCTGGTTAAATGACTCCTCGTCCCTGAGGCCACTACCAGTTTTTTGTGCCATTTTGCTGGATTTATTTGTCAATAGCGTTGCTGCACAAAGTGATAGCCCTCTAGTTTAAATCTACTACCCCAAAAGAAACATATGGAGATGGGTTACTATTGAAAAAAAAATGGAAATCTATTTGGGAACAGTGGGGCTGGGCCTCAAATCCTATAGGGGGGTCCGGGGGCATGCTCCCCCGGTAAGATTTTTTTTTAAATGTTGGACTTAAATGCATCAATCTGGTGCATTTTGAGGGGGAAATAAAGAGACTACACCCATATGAAACAAAAATGTATACATTTAAATAATCATAAAATCATAAGTACATGGCCATAACCAATAACATACAATATCCAATATGAAAAAACATTGAAACTTGTTTATTTATTTGTTTTTGGTTCATTTATAGTTGTGAGTGTGTCTGGGCTCCTGAATCGGCCTCTCCTGTCTCCCTCCTCTCCCCCCTGCTCCTCTTTGAGGCAACAGCAAAGACTAGTTTTAGCTCTCAACAAGTTTATCTTACCTTTTTTCACCTAGTTAACATTTTGTTTGTATTATTCATGCATATTTTACTAATCACTACCCCCTCAAATGGAAATATGTGTTTACATAAATGGTGACCGAACCGTTTGAGACCCACTGAGATAACTTAAACTAAGTTAACTATCTAAAGACTCAGAGAGTAATTTACCTCACCAGAGCTGTAGTTATCAGCCTCTCAGTCTGACAGCAAAGGACTCTCCCTCCACCTTGTTGTTGAAACAGCTCCTTATATCCGTTAGCGCAGCTAGCAAGCACCAGATGCTAACAACAATACACGTAACCGGTGCGCGCGCTTTCTCGCTCGCTCGCGCCACACATACACCAACACACACCCTCCCGAGCTTGAATGACACACAGAGACCAATCGAGGGCATTAGTATGATCTGTATGAAAGTGGCAATGTCGGCAGGCCACGTCATGTAGACAGCCAGTCACCCTCTGTGAGGCAGAGTCAGACCCACATTTGCGCTGCGTTGCGTTTACAATATATACGTATATTGCCGGCGGCTGAGTACCGGCATTTAGGTGCCGGCACCTCCGGTACTCAGTAAGAAGTGCCGGTACCACATGGGTAAAAATCAGAAGTGCCGGTACTGCGTACCGGTGAGTACCGGCCCAATTCAAGCACTGCTCTCAACACTTTACTTGTGTAATATCTAGGATGGGTATCGTTAAGGTTGTTAACGGTACTACTACTCTTAATGTGTGTGCACGCCGCTGCAGCATGTCTGTTAGGCCCCGCCCCCGCACAGAGAGATCGCTCTTCTGGAGTGAAGAGAGCGCAAATAATGATATTGCAAGTTAGAAACGTAAGATGCATTTTGAGAGACAAGACGGACAATTGGGGGAAAATATCCTGCATTTTGAATGTCCGGTAGTCCACCATTAACACCTTAGTCCCGTCTCGTCTACGAAAACTAAATATACATTTCGTCAGTTTTTATTATCAAGAATCTATTTGTAGCTTGTCGTCGTCTCGTCATGTAAAAAAGGTCGTTGACGTATCATTAAGTCAGTGGTGTAAAATGCGGTGCCGTTTATCGCAATAATTTCCGGGAAAATGTATCGTCCAACAAAATTAATTATTGAGACAGGCCGACGTGTTAAAATCAGAAGGAAGGAGTACCTTGGTGAAGGGTTGCTTTGAGTCTCGAAGCAGAGCAGCTTTCCAGGTGAGCAGGCGAGCGCTTTCCACCGCCACCCCCATGTCAGCCAGCTTAAACTACAGGAAAAACACTCATTACAAAAAACATCACTTTCCGGATCCTTAAAGTCAACGTTTTTAGCAGTTTAAGATCCTGATAAAGTATTTTTTGACCCGTTCATAAGCAACATCAAAGTATTTATCAGTTAGAAAACAAGTCGTAGAGCACCTACGTTTATATTTGAGCTTTTTCCTGCAGTATAGAGAGTTCTAAATGAATGTTTGCACGACAGTCACCTGTATGGCCTGCAGCTTTCCGATTGGAGATCCGAATGCAACGCGTTTGAGAGCGTAATCTACAGCGCAGTCCAGAGACGCCTGAGCGATCCCCAGAGCCTGAGCAGCGATCCCGATCCTCCCGCTGTCCAGAGTTTGCTGCGAGACACAGAACATGTACATCTGACAATGTATAAAAATGCATTTTGAGGTCGATTGAGCTCTTATTTTGAAAAAAATACATTTGACAAAGTGAAAAGAGAATTTTAAAGGATGATTGAGCTCTTATTTTGAAAATAAGTACCATGGTGATCTTGGTTTCCACCACCAAGCTACTTTATTTTAGCTAAGGTGTTTCCATTGGGCATTTTTAGCATGATTGAGCTCTTATTTTGAAAAAAGGCACATCGGACAATGTAAAAAAAAAATCATTTTGAGGTTGATTGAGCTCTTATTTTGAAAAAATAGATTTTGAAGGATGATTCAGCTCTTATTTTGAAAAACGGATGATTCAGCTCTTATTTTGAAAATAAAGTACCATAGCGATCTTGAACCCGGAGCCTCGAGGCCCCAGCATGTTTCCCAAAGGGATCCTGCAGTCCTCCATGATGATGTTGGCCGTGGACGAGGCCTTGATGCCCAGTTTGTCCTCCTTCTTCCCCAGAGAGAGACCGGGGTGAGGCATGGGGATCAGGAAGGCACTGATACCCTGAACACACGGAACAAAGCACACCTTAGAGGAAGTAACAAAGCACCACAAATATGTGAAACAGGTTTCTAGATATCACAATGCTTCCTTTATCTCTTTGTGTAGGATGTGACTTGCCTTGTGTTTGAGCTTCTTGTCGGTGGTGGCGAACACGATGGTGGCCGAGGCGTCCCAGCTGTTGGTGATCCAGGCTTTGGTCCCGTTCAGAACCCAGTCCTCTCCGTCCTGAATGGCCACGGTGGAGGCCGCGCCCGCATCGCTGCCGTTACCTGGAGGGGGGGTCAATATGCATTTAGTTCACGTGAGAACGCACAGATTGCACTTGTTTTAATGCATGTTCTTGTTTCTTAAACTTGATTGTAAAGCCATTTGACCCACCCCCGTGAATAAAAAGTGCTATATAACCAACAGTGTTATTATTGTTATCATCATCATGAATGACCCGTTTACCTGGCTCACTGAGTCCGAAGCAGCCCACCTTCTCTCCGGTGGTGAACGGTGTGATCCACTGCTGCTTCTGCTCCTCTGTGCCGTTCTTTAATATCGGCCCAATGTACAGAGACTAGGAAACACACAGAAATATTATTGTTTATTAGCTATAGGGGAGAACACAGGCCATGTAGCTGCTTAATCAAAATGTTTACAGTTAAAAAACAAGAAAACAAAAATGTTAACCCATTTTAATCTTAAAGGGTCTCCTATTATACTATTTGTAAGCAAATATTATAGGTTTCAAATATATATAAAAACATCTCTATGAAGTGTTTTGCTCAAAATACCAAACAGATCACCCATTCTAGCCTCAAACCCCTACCCTGTTACTAAAGTGCTGATTCTGGGTCTGTAGCTTTAAAAACACAAAACGTGATTAAAATCCATATCCTGTTCCAAACCACATCAAGGATTATCTCTGAAACAGTATGGAGCTCAAAGGCTTTCTCTCTTGCCGGTTATACCACAAGGTGAGTTCCTTTTTATTTCCTGCTTCTTCACACACATGCTCTCCAGTACAGGTTAGCTCTGAGTGTTAGCGATGCTAATGTAAACACCGACCATATTACGTCCAAAACACGTCTCATTGTTTCTGATAGCAACGTTTCTGATAGGGCCGTGGGTGTAAAGCCCGCCCACATTTCCGTCATATCCCATTTTTAGAGATGTGGGTACGGAGGAAAAGAGAGAGGGTTTTATTTTCTGGCTCTTTGTGAGTCTCCCGACACACCGGGGACACATATCTATGTATAAATAAAGTGCACTTTGCATGATAGGAGACCTTTAAAACAGCTGATATAAAAACACACTCACGTTATTGACGGACACCACGACCCCCGTGCTGGCGCAGCCTCGGCTGATCTCCTCCATGGCCAGACTGTAGGCCAGGTAGTCCATCCCCGCCCCCCCGAGTTCCTCCGGCACCTCTATGGCCATCACACCCAGCGCCCCCAAATCCTGGATCTGCAGCAGCGTGCACAGGAAGAACATGTTACATACCTTAAACATGAGATAACCCCCTTACCATATACTTTACTCAGTCATTATTTACATGTTCAGAAACCAGAAGGTCTTACATCTCAAATGAAGTCTCAGGAAATATTTTTGGTTGCATTTTTACTATCAAAATACTTTGATAGTGCAAATGCAGTCGGATTCTCAAAGCAGTTTATTTTCCTAAGTCCTTTTGAATAGTGCAAGTAAATACAAATAAAATAGAATAGCAATAGTTTCACACAGAGGTCAAGGAATAGTGGATAGGAAAAGACGATTGGAGCAGATTTTTGGACAATTCGACCGCAACCTTAGCGGTAGTAGTGCAAGAGTTCAATTGTACCTGTTTTTTAGGGAAAGCATGCTCTTTGTCCAGCTTCCCGGCGATGGGGGTCAGCTCTCGGTCGGCGAAGTCTCTGCAAGTCTGACGGAGCAGCTGGTGAGTCTCCGGCAGCTCAGCCAGAGCCGAGAAACTCCGACAGCCCGAGAGACACAGACCGAGCGCTGAGGGAGAGAAAGAGAGATTCATTAGTTAGAATATCTCAACCAGGGATTAACGATGTGGAGAATAGACGATTGGGATTACTGTGATTATTGTGATATTGCAATTACAATCTGATTCAAGACCGAGCGCTGAGGATGGGACAAGAGGGATTCATGAAGAAAATGCATCACAAAAAACAATACTAAATTATTTTGGATTGTTTACCTTTTTATTAAAGCATGCTTTTGTTTCTGTTGCACTTTACCCCTTTACTGTTGTAACAGTATTGTTTATAAAAGTAATTTTATTTCAGTAAATCATCTGAATACTTCCATATAATTCACATATAATTTCAAATTCCTTTATTCCCCTTATTCTGCATAGACTTCCTTCTGTCTTTGAACGCACCACTGCTAGCTTTACATGAAGTAGGTGAAAGGTTATCCTCATCCTCAGTCACCTTCAAATCTCTCTGACAGTTATAGAAACAACAAACTATCAAGAATATCTGTCAAACAACAACATTTGCCATTCATTAAACTACGTCATTACTTGTTATTAATGCTTTTAAACATAGCTAACCTGTTACCCAAATTAGCCGAAAGCTAACATGTAGCTGCTAACTTCTTCCCTTAAATTAGCCTAAAGCTAACTCTAAGAAACATGTTTAACATATTATAACAACGCGTTTCCTCTGTCAGTAACGAAAGCTAACACACATGTATATTTATATGACAATAAGGTATCATATAAAGTGTTAAATTACATAATAAGACCTTCATGTTTGAACTGGTTACATATCAAGCTAAGCTAACTATGATATTTCTCTATGGTATTTCCCATTTGTTTCCACACGAAGCTAATGTAGCATTGCTAGCATTGTATTACATAGCCTATGCATGTTATTTTGGTTATTTTTATATATATATTTCTCCTCATTTACTCACCCTTTCTTGCTTTAAAGAGAGCAGCCATGCCTCCTTCAGGAACAGATTTGAACCGGGGTGTTATGAGACACAATGCTGCCTGCAGGTGCCGTCGGAATTATTAGTACTAGCAGGTGGAACCAAACGTCAGGTGAGAATTATGAACGAAAGTGTGTACATAATCGTATATATATACAGTATATTGAGGTACGTGGTTTCTCACTATTATGATTACTAATGTATTTTTATCAGAGCAGGTCAATGTAGAGCTAATTTGAATTACATTATATACTGCTGTTGGATATCTGAACCTATGTCAAAGTGTATTTAATCATTGGTTTGTATAATGTTTAAGCTTTAAGTACCTCAAAATTGTGTAGATGTCACAAACAAGGCTTTTAAAGGTGTTTCACAATGCTCTTTTTTTGTTTTTAGAGTCGATTTTCCATCAAAGCGACTGAGTTATGTTTCTCTAGGGCATTGATTTTGGAATTTCCGAGGGCCAGTGAAGGTAACACGTAGCCCACTTTAACATGACGTTACGTTAATTTAGCTCAACCATATGTTTTAGGTTTTCTCTCCTAGATTCAATTCAATGTGTGTCTTTGATTCACCTGAACTTATTAATTAAAATGTTAAAGTCCCAAAGCAACCAGTAAATGTATTAAAAACACTTTTTCTTGGAGTCTCAGTTACTACACCACCTTCTGTTTGTTGTTGGTATAACTAAGAAATAAATGCCAGGAGTATTATTTATTGTAGTAATGGTACTTTCACTTAAGTAATAGTACAACATGTAGGTCAGCAAATACAAATGTAGCAAATAACCAAACGTATGGCTCTTTTAAAAGCAAAAAACTATGATATTATTTGTTGGAATTACTTAAATGTGTGTCTAAATATTTGATTTATTTACTTTTTCTTTGCATTTATTACATTTTGTGTGTGTGTGTGTGTGTGTGTGTGTGTGTGTGTGTGTGTGTGTGCGTGCGTGTGTGTGTTTTACATGTACTTCTGTATTTTAAAGTTACAGGTATGGGTACTTTAACTGGATTTCCATCACTGGTGCAGTAAATCTTTTCGGTTGATTCTGAACAATTACCACACACTTAAGATGAAATAAGGTAACGGCAGAAACACAAACAAACCATTACTCTGAGAACACAATCAGCCCTGAAGCATACACACTGTCACCATCACAACTAACACAATCAAACAAATATTGCCAAATGAGACTTTTTTTTCCCAATGTGCCACTGCCGTCTACCTACCTGTCTGAACCACAACCTGTGTGTGTGTGTGTGTTAGATAATTTAATGACCTGGTACTGTTTTAGTTTTGATTCATGTGGGTAGAATAAACCTTTTAATTTAAATGTGGTCATCCCAAAATGATGCTTCGAAATGTACATGTGTCATTGATAACCTTGCACATTGAAGGTAATATAAAACACTATAATTTTTTTTTTTTTACCCATTAAGATATCTAATAATAGCTGTAATATAATAGCGACCTGTAGGAGATGCACATAAATAAACACACTTCACTTTAAGGGCAAACAAACAACAAACACACAATTAACTCCAACAGATAAATAAAGGAAATCCAGCCAGTGAGCTTTTCAGGTTGTACAACTTGTTTATTTTTTAGCACCATAAAAAGTCAGTGGATGTTGAGTTCTCATCCGGTCTTTCCTTTGGGATGGAGCCATGATGGTGGTGTAGATTTAGGGAAGGGTTGGAGATCTAAAGATGGTGGGTGGGGTCAGTATTTACTTGGTGGCGGTGGTGAAGGTGAAGCAGCCTCTCTGGTGGAACTGCATGTCTCTGATGCGGCGCATGGACTGCATCTGAGGCTGGTAGGCGCTGAAATCGTTGTAGTGTTTGTAGTCTCCGCACTCAAACAGGTACTGGTAGCCCCTGTATCCGGGGTACTGGTAACCCACCCAACTGGGAGGGAAGATGGAGATGGAGGAGGGTTAGTCAAGGGTCAAATGTCAACAGTATCATGCTTAGACTCATTGGTTTGATTATAGGATGTTAAAGTGGTGGTACAGGAATACACTTAAAGGTTCTTTAGGAGGTTCTGAGGGTCCACAAAGCACATTTATTGTGTGCTGAGGAGGTTCCAGGGGTCTTTTAAGAGGTCCTTAGTCATACATAAGTGTTTAGAAGTCCACTCAGAGGTTTGGGTTTCATTAAGGAGATTCTAGGAGACCCTAAGCTGATCTTTTAAAGAGTTCTAAGAAGACCAGTTGGTTGTTTGGTCATTGAGGAGATTGAACAGGTCCCTAAGATGATTTAAGGGGCTGTTGAGGAGGTTCTAGGGGTCTCTAAATCAGTTTTAGTGTGTGCTGAGGAGGTTCCAGTCGTTTTTAAGAGGTCCTTTAGGAGTTTTAACAAACCAAAGGATGTTATTAGTCATATATAAGGGTTTAGAAGTCCATTAAGAGATTGGGGTTTCATTGAGGAGGTTCTAGGGTTAGGGCTAGGTTAGGGTTAGGGTCCCTAAAGCAGTTTTAGTGTCTGCTGAGGAGGTTCCAGGGTTTTTTAAGAGGTCCGTAGTCATACATAAGTGTTTAGAAGTCCATTCAGAGGTTTGGTTTTCCTTGAGGAGGTTCTAGGGGTCCCTAAGATGATTTTAATGGCTGTTGAGGAGGTTCTAGGGGTCTTTGAAGTGATTCTATGGGTCAGTGAGGAGTTTCCAGGGGTCTTTAAAGATAGGACTTTTTCCTTTACTTTAACCAATGCATTTCAAAAACGTAGATTATAAATCCAAATCTCTCTGCCTTGCTGCATGTGAGGATATGTCTTTGTGTAAATAGATCAGATCGTATATGAAAGCAGGTTGTTTCCAACAGATGGGACTACAAATCTGTCTTTTTCTCTCAGTGTTCTCCACTTTTCTTTATAATTGTTCTGAGGACATCTTATTGCACCTTTAGGAGCTTCTGTGTTTCCTCCAGGCGTCTGAATAGGAACTATAATCTATAAAAGCATACGATGTGTACTCACGATCCTCCAGGAACCCTCACGCTGCCCACTCTGTCGCAGAACCCATGCGCCCACAGGGTGGGAACATCGTCCTCCTGGATTTCCATCTTGTTGCCCTTGAAGTCGGAGAGCTCGTAGAGGCAGTTTTGTGCTCCATGCTCGTCCTGCAGGGGGGGGGGGGGTCAGGGGGTCACGTTACAGTACATCATGTATGGGAGATAAGGCTGATCAAAGAGAGGGAATATCATGGCGGAGAGGAAGTTTGAGTCACTATTAAAGCAAGATGTCCCAAAATATCTCACTTCTAGCTTCCTAAATCGTATAGTAAACTGAATGTCTTTGTATTTTCTATTCTACTTTTTCTTATTCTACTATTTAAATATGCGCTGTCGTGTTTATATATATATTTTGTCTCATTAGAGCGTACCATGCGGACGGGCCTGAGGGACATGAGGCAGTCGCTGCGGTAGGAGTTGCTCCAGGTGTCCCAGCGAGGATACTCTCCCTTCTCCAGGATGAACATCTCCCCACGGAAGTTAGTCTGCTCAAATGCAACAAAGCTGGAGGGTGAGGGAGGAGAGGAGAGCACAATTAGAGGGGATAATATTATATATATATAAGAAGACATCTGCAGTAATGTGTGTCCACTTACGGGCCGCACTCCACAATGATACTACGCACTCTATCCATGCCACGGTCACACACGTTCATACACTCATTCTGGACCTCGATCATCTTTCCCTGGAAGTTCTCCTGGTCGAACATCATCATCTGCACACAGGGGACAGCAGGGAACAGTTATACAGAGACATAGAGAAGGGCAGTCAGCGTCTGGCTTATGCTGCATGCAGTCGTTTCAATGAAAGGTAACTAATCCATGCAATATCAAGCAATGGAAAGCTTTAATGGGTCTAAAAGATTTTGGGTCGGATATTATTTGTAAAGAAAACTTTGTCAATCTCCAAATATATGCATTTTTCTATCAGTTTTCTCTACTTTAATTAACGCATTTCAAAAACTCAGCTACATGGCTGCATGTTTTCTTTAACATTTGTGCAACTGGCCCTTTAAATAGATCAGATTGTATATTAAAGCAGGCTGTTTCTTTCAGATGGGACTACAAATATGTCTTTTTCTCTCAGTTTTCTCTACTTTAACCAATGCATTTCAAAATTTCAATCTCCCATAATACTTTTCTCTACGTAACTGGCCCTTTAAATCAATCAGGTTGCGTGTGTTTCCTGCAGATGGGATTAAACATCTGTCTTTTTCTCTCCCAATATATTTTCTCTATAGTTTGTGTTTCTGATATTAACTCAGTTCCTAAAGTGAAGGCAGAGCGGGGACTACTCACTCTGAAGGACCCCACGCCGGGCTCTCCGGTCTTGGTGGCCTTGCTGGTGGCGGCGGGAGGGGCGCCCTTGTCCTTGGCGTCGGTTCCCTGGCTGGAGGCGGACTTGGCGGTCTGAGACATGGTGAGAGTCTGAAACACAAACAGAGGTATATCAAATCAAACTTTATTTGTATAGCCCAGTGTCACAAAAGTCTCAGTGGGCTTTACAGATTAAAGACAACATTGTATATGATGGAGTTACAGCAAAATGAGAAGATAGTATAGTTATGTAGGTTTATACATTTTTTTATATATATTTGTATTTTGTATTCCTGGGGATTGCAGGAAATTGTATTTCGATCTCTCTGTCGACACACAAACGGAAAGATTGACAATAAAGTTGACTTTGACTTTGAAGTGACAGGATGATGAGAAACAAACTATAAAAAAATAAAAAATGAATGTATTAAACGTAAAAGTACCAAATGCAATAAAATCTAAGATAATTACTTATAAAACACTCAAAAAATGTATCGTTAAAAGTAGTTACAAAGGTCAAATAAATAAAAACGTTTCATGACAGGTGAAGTGGAGAAAATAGCCAAATTAAGATTTAAAAAAAAGTAAAATCATCATAATGTAGTTAAAGTGTTAAATGTACCAAATTCTAAAACACCAAATGTATTTAAAATAAATTAGAAAATGTATTTTAATTTCCTCTCAATCTGTTCTCGTATGGCTATAGTTGAATTTATAACGCTCTAAGAATCTACTTTTTTAAACGTTTTTTATACAAAAATCTTAATTTGTGAAGTAAATAAATCTGTTAGATTAATAAAAACAAATGCTATATTTCCATTTTTAAATTCTAGTGGTAAAGTACCTCTAAAATGAATTTGTTATTCTCCACCTCTGTGTTCATGATGGAGGTTTAAAGGGCGTCTGTCGGGGTCTTTCCCCCAGGATGAAGGGTGTTTCCTGGGTGTGTGGGCCCTGTGTCTCTGCTGGATGCTGTACTGTGTTCAGGTGTGTGTGTGAGAGTGTGTGTGAGTGTGTGTGAGTGTGTGTGTGTGTGTGTGTGTGTGTGTGTGTGTGTGTGTGTGTGTGTGTGTGTGTGTGTGTGTGTGTGTGTCCTTACCTGTGTTTAGCTTAGCTTCAGTAGGAGGCAGGCTCGTGCTGGTGCCTCCAAATCTGTCCCCAGCTTTTATACTCTGGCAAGGGCCATATGTGGAGGGTCTCCTCACAATAAAAAGCCCCTCGTCATCACTTCGGGTCATCAAAGAGCCTGGAAACGCCCGATTGCCCC